ATTGGTCATCGTATTTGGGGTGAACGTGAACTTTTTTGGCTTTGACGACAACACCTCCAACGTTAGCTTTGGATGATCCGGCACGGAAAGCAAGAGATTTGTGGCTGTTTATAAATTAAAATCATTAATTTTTTTTTTAAATTAAAAAAATAAACCCCCCTCCCAAAAAAAAAAAAAAACTCACTTTTGTTCGTAAACGCAGTGAGCAGCTGTGACTACCAAGTTGGGGGCAACAACTGAACCTCCACAGAAGAAGTTACCATTGTTGAGCATGGCAACAAGGTATGGTACTTCAGAAATGGAAGTGTTTTTACCTCCAACAATGTACCCTTCTTCTTCTTGTACATTGGGGATGGAAGCACCTAATTTTTATAAAAAATATTAATTCAACCACTCTCAATTTAATGGCGATTCTCAAAATTTAGAAAAAAAATTTCAAAATCAAAACAAAAGAAAGAGTACTTACCCAAAGCACAAGCTACCAAGCAAAGAGAAAGAACAACCTTAATCATTTTTCCGATTTCTTTCAAGAAAGAAAAATTGAATGTGATCAAAAATTAATTTTTCACTCCTTATATACTGCAAAATTATTTGCAAAATTTTGTTTTTCCCCACTTTTACGTAATCGATATCACGCACTCACACACACTCACAATCAATTGATAATCAATACAAATAATAATAATAATAATAATAATAATAATATCTCAGACATATTCTTGTTCTTATAATCGAAGGTAAAATAATCAAAAATTCAAAAAAAAAAAAAAACTTTAAATTTAAAAAAAAAACTGATAAGAAAAACCTTTAAGAGAGAACATAATTTATTTATTTATTTATTTTTTTCTCTAAAGTCCGTCGTCTGCTACCCACACTTATTATTATTATTATTTTTCTTAAGTATTTATTTTAAATCTTAGAAAAAAAAAAAAAAAAACAAAACTCTTAATTTTTGAAGAGTGAATACGAAACAAAAAAAAAAAAAAACAGTTAAAAAGTTTCATTCGTATGAAAAACAACCTGATATATTTAATTATTTAATTATTTATTTAAATAATAATAATAATAATAAGGATATTTTGTGTCTGCTGTGTGATTGTAGTAATTAGAAGAAAGATTTTTTTTTTTTTTTAAATTTAAAGTAAATTTAAATTTCTCATGATGCGATTTTTTTTTTTTTAATTGTAAGTTCTTTCTTCGCCATTATTATCGTCTACAGCAGTTAAATTATTTAATAAATAAAATAAATTTTTTTTTTTTAAATTTACATTATATTATTATCAATATATAATATATATTATCCCGATGATGTATTCTTACCTATAATAATATAATAATTTATATTTATAATAAAAAAGGACCGAAGTCTCACATGCCCTTCTCACGCAAAGATACTATATTATATATAAATAAACCCGAGCAAAAATATTTTAATAAATATTATATTATTATTAATATTATTATGTTAATTATAATCATACGTTAACGTTTAAATTAACATCTCTGGGGGGACGGGGTAGAGGTGGGGAGGGGGTAAATGCATTTTATAAAACAAAACACAAATTTTATGCTTGTTGTAACCTTAATTCTTTAATTTTTATTATATATTATCATAATATATAAATATATATAATTTTATATATATATTAATTTATTTTTCCTTTTTCCTTTTTCTTTCTTTTTTTGTATATATGATAAAAGTTACGTCACGGGAATCACACAGATTTGAATATTTTAAAAATGACGTAAATTTTAAAATGCGACGATGATGACGTTAACAAAAAAATAAAAATTTTAAATTTTAATTACTCTATCATTATCATTATCATTATTATTATTATTATTATTATTATTATTATTATTATTATTATTAATTGTTAATTTGAATATCTTCTATAAAATTACTCCAAGTTTATTGTTTCAATTCGATCCAGAAAAATCATTAAAAAAAAAAAAAAATTCCCAATCGACATAATTAAATAATGAAAAAATAATTTTTTTTTTTTATCATTCTCTCTCTCTCTAATTTACGTCTAAATTTTTAGATTTCGACGACAACAACAAACAACAACAACAACAACAATTTCGAACTAGAAAAAAAAAAATGCGTAGAAAATGTTAAGGGGAAATAAAAAAAAAATTTGAAGGATTTAAACATTCACGTTTGTTTTCATTAAAAAAAAAAACAAAAAATGAACTTGGTGATAAACAATCGAATGATCGATAAATCGATAAATCGATCGTGTAAATTGATAATTATGATAAAAAACGTGACGAAATCAAAAAAAAAAAAAAAAAAAAAAAACGTAAATTTTAATATATATATATATATAAAGTCCGAACATATTGAATGAAATATCAATTCATTGAAAAATTTTTGATACGAGTAATTGTTTAAAATACGATTTTTTGTTTAAATAAATAAAAAAAAAAAGTTTTTGTTTAAATAAATTAAAAGGGAAAAAATGTTGAAATCTCTCATTCATATGTGTTTAGTAACCGTCGCATGGGGTAAGAATTTAAAATTTTTTTTTTTTTTTTTTTTTTTTTTTTGGGGAGGAGAATTATTTTTTATTCCTGTTGGAATTGCAGGCGGTAAAATTCCTCTAGAGCATGGCAAAGCTGATTTTATCGTTGGGGGTAACGACACTGATATTTCTGATGTACCTTATCAAGTAGCTGTATTTAGCAAAGGTGTATTCACCTGTGGTGGTTCGATTGTATCCCCTGACGTCATCGTAACTGCTGCTCATTGTTTACATTGGACTGAGTAAGTTAAATTTTTTTTCTTAAATTTTGGTTCATGAGATGATGATGATGATGATGATGATGATAATCTAATTTTTTTACATTAAAGATTTGAAGATGTTATTGTACGAGCTGGTTCCTCAAATTCGAGATCTGGTGGTATAACGGTTGGAGTTAAAACATGTGAAAGTCATCCGAAATACAACAGGACGACGGTTGATTTTGACATAGCCGTTTGCCGTTTGAAAACCCCATTAAAATTCAATTCGAAAATCCGTTCGGTTCCACTTGCAAGAATCGAACCCGAACATAACGAAGTTGCCAAATCGAGCGGTTGGGGATTACTCAGGGTTAATATTTTTTTTTTCACCGCCATCTTTTTTTTTTTTAAATGATTCCTTTATTTATTGTGATATTATTTATGTTTAGGAACAAGGACACATGGCTAAAACTCTTCAATCTGTTCTCCTTCCGGTCGTAGAACGTGATATTTGCAATAAATTATTACCGTCTTATGATATTACCAAAAGAATGATTTGTGCCGGAGTCGAAGGAAAGGATACCTGTCAAGGTGACAGTGGGGGTCCATTGGTTGTCGATGGTACTCTTGCGGGTGTTGTTTCATTCGGAACCGGATGTGCACGTAAAGACAAACCAGGAGTTTATACGAATGTTGCTGATCTCGAAGTTTCTTCTTTCATTAAAAATTTCATTTCTTCTTCTTCTTCTTAATTTATTATTACTATTATTATTATTAATATTTTTCTTTTATACTTTTAAATAATTTGTTCATTTTTTTACTTTTTTACGATTTCTTTGTAAAATTTTTATTACTTTTTTTTAATAAAAGCATCATAAAAAATTATCCGAACGTTTTTTTTTTTTTTTTAAAAAAATTATTTTATTACTCCCTAAGGATTTACCTTTTCTTATCCTTGTTTTTTAAAAAAAAATTCCCTAAAGTTATTATTCAATAAAAAATCAATTATTTATAATTTTTAATAAAATAATAATAATAATAAAAAACCACCCGAATAATTGATAAAAAAAAAAAAAAAATTTTTTTGACGTAATCAAACATGTAATTAGGACTCGATTTGATTATTTAAAGTGCCTAAAAAAATTTTCCGAAACTTTTTTTTTGCGGGGAGGGAAAGGAAGGAGGAGGGGGTAAGGACCAGTGACGAAATTAATTTTTTATACTCGCATACACCGGTCACAATGGCAGCTACAGCAAAAAAAAAAATAAATAAATTCATCGTCACCTATATAATTATAACATTATTCGATCGATATTTAAATTTTCTTTTCCCCCTCCCTCTTCAACCGCCCACTCGTGTATTAGTGACGTTATATCGATAATATTACGTAGTAATAATAATAATAATAATTACAGGAAAAACATAAAAATTTAACGGATATGTAAATTATTTCGTAATAATAATAACATTTAATAATTTAAAAAAAAAAAAAAAAAAAAGTTTTGTTAAAACGATCAAAAATTTCACGCCATTTTTTTTTGTGGAGTGGGGAGGGAGGAGAAAGGAGGAGAAGGGAGGTAGGGAGGGAGGGAAAGGGGGTCGGACTTCGTCATAATTTGTTCCAAATTTTAAAAAGCGGTTTTTTTTTTGGTTTTTCCCCTTTTCGATAGGTTTCCTAAAAATTACGTTTTTTTTGTTGTTTTTTTTTTTTTCTCGTGACACATTTAATTTTTTTTAAAAACAATTATAATTATTATTATTATTATTATTATATAATTGATAAATGATAAAATAATAAAAACAATTTATATATATCGTTCGATAAAAAAAAAAAATTATAATCAAATTGAAAACGGTATCGAATACGATTTTTTATAAAAAAATGGCGAACGCGACGACGTCTTTTTTATTTTTAATTAATTTATTATTTATTTTTTTATTTATTTCCGGTAAGTTTTTTTTCTCTTTCTCTTATTTATTTATTTATTTATTTATTATTCTGTACGTATTATTATTATTATTAATTTTATTTTCATTCTTGTCCTATTGATCGAAACAAAAAAAAAAAATTTCCGAAAAAAAAAAAATTTTATGAATTTATTTGAATGCGTTGTTTAAGTGATAAATTTTTGTGTAATTAACGCGTCGTGTTGTCGTCTGCTTGTCGGACAAGTGATAATGATAATTTTTCACATAAACACATTAAAATGTATTAATTAATTTGTTAATTTACGATTAATTAAATCAAAATAGTTTTTATTGTACATTACGTTGAAAAAAAACAAAAAAAAAAATTTTTCCGCCGTTTTTTTTCAGGTTTTGTTGATTCAAGGCACGCGGGAAGAATTCCTCAAAGGCACAGTAATAATTTAATAGTCGGAGGAACGGAAACGGATATATCAAAAGTTCCATATCAAGCAGCTTTATTGCTAAAATCTTATTATTTTTGCGGTGGAGTCATAATAAGCGAAAAATTTATTTTATCTGGTGCCCACTGCATTGTTTTGTTCGTATTTTCTTTATTATCATTATTATTAATATTCGCGTGAATGTACATTAAATTTTTTTTTTTTTTTTGAATAGCTTTTACCATAGATTTGGAACCGAACAAAATTTATTTGTAAGAGTCGGTTCTAATTACACTACAACCGGTGGATCTTTGGTAAAAGTTAAAAATTCAACCTGCCACGACGATTTCAATTTCGATACATACGATTACGACATATGCTTATTAGAATTGGAAGAACCATTGAAATTTAACGATAATATTCAACCCGTAGAATTAGCAGAAGAAGAACCGAAAGGTGGAGAAATCGGTATAGTCGCAGGATGGGGTACACTTTCGGTAAAAAAAAAAAAATTTGAAGGAGAAGGAAAAATTAAAAAAAAAAAATTTTCCAACCAGTTTTTGTGTTTTTTTTCCTTTTAGGAAAATGGACAAAATCCAGAACATTTGCAATCCGTTTTAATACCGGTAACGAATAAAACTGATTGTTTTAAAGCCTACGAAATTATAAGTCCTATCACCGACAGAATGATATGTGCCGGACTAGAAGGAAAAGATTCTTGTCAAGGTGATAGCGGAGGTGGTCTCGTTGTTGATAACAAACTCGTCGGTATCATATCGACGGGTTTCGGGTGCGGGGTTAAAGATTTTCCGGGAGTTTATACGAGTATCGCACATCCGGAAATAAAAAAATTTGTTAAGGAAACCACCAGGAATGTTTAATTATGAATTCATTCAAAAAAGAAATGTTATAAATTTTTAATATATTTAAATTTTCCTTAATTACACTTTAAATTTTTTTAAATTTCCTTTTAATAGGTACCAACGGGTACCCATTTTCCTTATACTCACGATAGATAACATTTAGAAAACGATAAAAAAAAAAAATTTATTTATTTTTTTTTTTTACGACGACTTGAATGTCCTTGGTTCGTTAAATTTTCTTAGGGTTCGAATTATTGTTTTCTCATTTCCGGTCGAGAAATAGGAAGGGAAGGATAAGGAAAAAAAAAAAATTATATTTACGATAATATTTTCGAATAAAATCGATAAATTCGAGATAAATTGAAAACCGATAGAAATCGAATAAATTTCATACTCGGCCGCGTTGAAATGCCAAAAAAAAAAATTTTTTTCTTTTTTTTTTTTTGTTAAACGCAGCCATTTTAATTTATTAACGACGCGTTCGGTTTTTTTTTTGTTTTCGGGGGGATAAATCGATCGATCGATCTATATTTTAATTTTTTTTTACCGTCAATTAAATTTTAAAAATTATAATAATATTAAAATGACATTTTAACGGTTGCACGTTTATCGTGGTAATAAAAAAAAAAAAAAAATGGTGATTGATGTGCGGTTTCAACCTGTGTAATGGAAAGGGAATTTACAAAATGACGTCATCAACACATTCGAAACGAATAATTGAAGGACGAAGACGAAGAAAACGTTACAAATTTATATAAAAAATTATTATTATTATTATTACTATCAGATTCCAGTTATTTTTCTAATAAAGTCTCTTATCTCTTCGTTTGCTATGTTTGTATACACTCCAGGATATCCTTCTCTTCCGCATCCCTTACCCCAAGATATCACCCCGACGAGTGTTTTATTAATAACGACAGGACCTCCGCTGTCGCCCTTGCAAGAATCAAAACCAGGAGAACCAGCACAAATCATTCTGCTCGTTATTTCTTCCAATTTTTCATAGGATGTCTTACATTGATCTCTGTCAATGATGGTTATTTCGAGGGATTGAAGATTAGCCGATGCTTGTCCTCGTTCCTAAAAAAACGTCAAAAGATATTAAAAACATTTTTAGGGGGAGGTGGAAAGAAAATCGTAATCAATTTAAGGTAATAAAAAAAAATTGTCTGATGAAATTATTTACCTGAAGGCTACCCCAACCGGAAACCAAAACAGTTTGACCGGAAACCGGTTCTTTATCTGTTACGGAAATCGGTTGCGAATTTAAATCAAAATCAATCGGAGATTTTAGTTCGATCAATGCTACGTCATAATCAATTTTAGTTTTATTATATTTCGGATTAAGATAAAATTTTTTAACTTTGTACGTTTTTCCACCGTTTTCGCGATTCGTTGAACCCGTTCTCACGATTATATCGTTCGGACGAAATCTAAAAAAAAAAAAAAAAATTGAATCGAACCGGTAAAAAAGAAGAAAAATGGCGGTGAAAAAAAAAAAATTACCTGTGCAAACAGTGACTAGCGGAAACGGCATAAAGAGGACTAATTATTGTTGCGGCACAAAATTGATGACCTTTCCATTCCAAAGCAAGTTGATATGGTATTTTATCAATGTCTGTTTTTGTACCACCTACGATTCTACGCTGCGGTAAGTTTACCGGTTCACCTTAAATTAAAAAAAATTTTTTTTTCCATTTCCCCATTTTTCATTTCACGTTTGATTCGTATAAAAAATAATTTTATTATGACCACCATCATTATTATTATTTTAAAAAAAAAATTCGTTCATCGAAAAAAAAGCGAATTAATTTTGATTTGACTTACCGGACGCGGCGGAAATGATGACAGCACAACACATAATAATAATAATTGACATGTTAAAAGCCATTTTAAAAATAAACTTTTCTCCTCGTTTACTAAATTTTTTATAGAAAAATTTAATAATTTCACTGTCTCATTAGCATAGATACGTGACACAGAAAATGATTTAATAAATTTTCGTCTGCAATCATTCTCTCTCACTCTCCCTCTTTACTTTTCCTTGAATTTTCCATAATTTTTTTTTTTAAAAAAGTTCATCGTTGATAAAATAATTATTGGGCGAAAAAAAAAAAAAATCGGCGGTTTTTACCACTTGAACCTTCGTATCTGTAACAACAAAAAAATGGTAACGCGACGCGACGGTAAAATAAAATTCAAAATGGCGACCGAATTTAAAAAAATATAACGAATTTTAAATTAAAGCGCGAAAAAATTAAACCGAAAATCAAATATTATACAAAAGAAGCAGAAGAAAAAATAATATTATCATTATCGTTAGGAAAAAAAGAAAAAAAATTAATTTAGGTTATAAATTACTCGTTTATTGGTTTCATTCTTCTGACACGATTTCTGACGGGATTTTTTTTTTTTTATCAACTCGATTTCCTTTTTGTTTATTCTCCCGCCATTTTTTTTGTATTTGTTTAAATCACAAAAATTAAAATTTAAATAAAATCGTGACGTAACTAACATAATAATCGATAGGAAATTTTTTAGCCCAAGTTCAAATAATAAAAACGTGGCAGATAAGAAAAAGTAAAGCAGAAGACAATTTAAAAAAAAAAAAATTTCCTTCAAGGAAAAACACGTTTCGAGGGTCAGTAAAAAAAAATTTTTTTATGGACACTTTTTAGAAAAATAAATTTTTTATAAAAATTTGAAATTTTTCACTCACTAGGTAAAAAAAAAGTGGAAGGAAAAATAAAATAATTGAAATAAATATATAATGAGGAAAACGAAAACAAACTTTATTATTATTATTATAATTATTATTTCGAATTGCGTGGGGGAGGAGGGGTGGGGAGGTGAGTGGGGGCTTAGAAAATTTTCGATATTAGATTTTTGTTAAAAAGTAAATAAATCTTTTATTTGTTCACGAGTCACGAATGATTTTAATTGTTATGATACTCGATGTTATAATTACAAGTCATAAGATAAGATAATAATGATTTTAGGTTGAAAGTTCGATTTATCTATCGATTAATCGATTTAAATCGATTTTATTTATTTTGTTTATTCGGTCAATTTTAAATCGGTTAAGTTTCTTGTGCCAAACCTAAAAAGCTTTTTTTTTTAAAAAAAAAAAAAACTCCGTTCGAATTCAATAAACATTTGTTTAAAATTTTTGTTTAAATTTAAATAATTTATTTTTATAAAAAAACGTGTAAATAGATAAAATTTATTAATCCAGGTGTGTTTTTTTTCTTTTTATAAATAATTTATGAGATATTAACGAACGAACGAACAAAGAGGATTAAAAAACAATGACGAGTTGTTAATAAATAATTTTCTTTTTTATTTTCCCGCCAAAAATTTTCATAATAAAAATCATAGAGTAAAAAAAAAAAGTTTTTTCGTGCGCGCGCACGCGGGAAAGTAGAAAAAAAAATTATTTTCCGGTTAAAAAATAAAAATAAAAATAAATTTTTACCATCTAGGGAGCATAATAAAAAAAAAAAAGGGAAAAAAAAGTTTTTTTTTTTTTTTTTTTTTTTTTTTTTTTTTTTAAACAGGCTGCTGCCACGAACGTTATTTTTTTTTTTCCTCCCTAAAATATAAAGACCCTGTTGGAACTCTCTATATAATAATTTTATACATAAAAAGAAAAATTGCAAAAGTTTTTTTTTTTTTTTTTTTTTTTTTACTCTCCATTTTTCTTTTCTATTTTTTTTTTTTTAATTAAAAAAATTTTTTTTTTTGATGTAAAATTTTAAATAATTTAAAAAAAAAGGGGGGGATCCAATATTTTGAAGTGGGGAGGCGGGGGGAAAGGGTAGGAGGAAAGGAAAAGAGGATCACGAAAAATAATGACGACAATGATGATGATTTAAAAAAAAAAAAAATTTTTTTTAATTCGGTCATGGAAAATAAATTTCAAAATAAATTCATTCTCCTGGATAATTTCCAAAAAAGATTTTTTCTGTCGTTGCTGTTGTCAGCATAGTTTTTTTTTTTTTAAATTTGTGATTATAGAAAATCTCCTCGTGTGATTATGATGTTTAGTTTTTTTTTAATAATAAATAAATCAAAAAAAAATTTTTTTGCTTAAAATGATAATTTAATAGAATGTGCTGTAGTTTAAAGAAAAACTATTTTCTGACGTAAAAACAACCAACAGCAGAAACAAGTTTTAAAACCCATCCGGTGTTTTTTTTTTTTTTTTTATTAAAAATATAACTTATGACAAAAACACATACATGCAAAAAAAAAAAAATAACAAAACTCGTGACGTTTAAATAAATTATTTTGCTGTCGTTAAAAAACAAATTTTTTTTTTTAAAAACTTCTTCCTGCGGTTTTTATTAACCCCCCTTCCCCCCTCACGCAAAACAAATCCAAATTTTTAAACATTTGCGACAGAAAATTTTTCATCTTAATAAAAAAAAAATCATAATAATAATTATTATTTGTTTACACGCTCGCTCTTCTTTTTTTTTGGGGGGGGGCGGGAGAGGGAAATTAAGCAAAAACAGCAAGAAATGAAGGAGAAGAAGAAGAAGACAAAACGAATGAAACGAGATCTTTAACAATCGCGCCTAAAAAAAAATTCATTTCGATTAAATAATTTTTTCATTTGTTTGTTTGTTTGTTTGTTTTTCCCGTTTTGATTTTTAGTTATTATTATTATTTTCGAATGAAATATTATTATTATTATTATTATTATTATCATTATTAATTGTCATGTAAATTCGTCTCCCTCTTAAAAACTTGTCTTAATTGTTCATTTTAATTATTAAAACCCTGAGGGTTAATTACTTAATTTATCTTTTCTTTGTCAAAGGAAATTACAACGTCATCCACTTCCGCCATTTTTTTACTTTTTTCTTTCACGTTAGCAAAAACTTAATTTCGTTTGTTCGTATTAAATTATTATATTACAAACAACAACAACAACAGCATCAAAAAATCCGACGGTAGAATAATCGGGGGCACCAACAACAAAAACAAAATTTTTTTTATTTGCATAACCGTTTGACCCCATTTTTTTTTAAGTTCTGTTGACACGTCGATAAAAATTAAAAATTTTTTCGTCGTGACGTCAGATTATTTATTTAAAAAAAAAAAAACGCGAGAAAGAATTAAACTAATTTTTTATATATAAAAAAAAAATGTTTATGTTGGCAACCCTTACTCTTAGTAAGGACGGTGGAAATTCAGATAAAACGCCCGAAAACAATTAAAAAGAGAGAGAGAGAGAGGGAGAGAAAAAGAGAGATTAAGAGCAACAATGACGATAAATTAAAATAACTTGATTTAAATGAATTCGGTGAAAGAAGAAAAGACGAAAAAAAAAAAAAATTTCAGGGGTTAAAATCATCCCCCTAAAAGAGAGAGACAGAGAAAGAGAGAGATAGAGAGAGAGAGAGAGAGGAAATCTGTCTAAAAACTTAAATTTGGCCGTTATTTTGACTCCCCAACTTTTTTGCTCCTCCTACTGAAAATTAAAATTTATTGAAATGTTGTTTTTAGACTTTTCCTTCCTTCCTCTTTCCCTCTTTTTCTCTCTCTCTCTCTCTCTTTTTCTTTCTATTTCAACTTTCTCTCTCTCTCACTCTCTTCTTTTCTTCCTTTTTTTTTTTGTTTTAAGTGTTTTCACTTTTCCACTTTCAAGATTGCTTTTTATAAAATTGCTACTTTTCTTAAGGTCTCAATTTTAAATTTGATTTTTAAAAAAACACAAACAAAAACAAAGAAACAAACAACAACAACAACAAACAACCCTACAAGAGGAAAAATAAAAAAAAAATTTAATTTAATTAAGATTTTCAAAAGGTAAAAACAAAAAAAAAAAAAAAAAAAGAAAAAAAGACGATCGAATGGAAAGGTGGATCGATAATCGAAAATTAAATCAATAACCATTCCCTCTCTTTCTCTCTCCCTCCCTCCCTTCCTCCCCTTTTTTTTCATCATCCACCCACTTCCCTTTTTTTTTTTATATTTTAATTCTAAAAATTTTTATTTTTTAATTTTCCTTTTCCGATCGGTTATAATTGGGAGGAAAATTTGATCCAGGAATTAACCCAGGAACCAATTATCTGGATTTCTCGGTCTTTAACGTCATCTTTTCATTAAATAAAGGGATTACACTGGGACTTCTTTTCATCCTGTAGGATGATACATTTTATAAATAATTACCATCTTACCTAAATTTTGGAAAAAAAAAAAAAAAATTTTTTTTATTAATTACGATGATTCGTATTCACGACGACGATGCCGCCGCCATGAAAATTGGATATCGTGACGTCATTTAATTTAAAAAAATTGTTTTTTTTTTTAAACTGATTTCTGAACAAAACCGAATATTATATTTAAAACGTTTAATAATAATAATAATAATAACAAAAAAAAATAAAAAACCGGAAACAAAATTTTATTTTAAACACAATGTAAAAGTTTAGCGTGACGGTTAAAAAATTAAGTAAAAAAAAAAAACAATTTTTTTGTTGTTTTTTTGTTTTTACGCACACACACAGAAAACAAAACAACAAAAACAAAAACATTTTTTTTCTTCTTCTGTTTTTGCTGTTTTGCTGCGTTTTAATTTTTTGCCTTTGAGCGGAAAAAGATAGAAAAAAAAAAAACATTCTTTGTTTCAATAATTGTTTTTTCAAATCTCCCGCGTTTTTTTTTTGTTGTCTTTTTACCCGTCGTAATTTGTGTATTTTTTTAAATTGCTAATGCCACTACCACAACAACAACAACAACAACAACAACAATCGCCATTATTATTATACAAACGTAGTGATTTCTTACGTGGTTTCGAACGTTAAATTTAAAAAAAAATTTGCGGCCGTTTAAAAAGAAATTTTTTTTGTGTTTTTGGTTGTTGTTGTTTTTGTTGTTGCT